ATTTGTCACTCATTGTCGTCTAATTGTCTCGCTAAAATTCGAAAACGGCTCGAACGATTTTGATGAAATTTTTTGTGTTCGTTTGAGAGGCTCCGTGGATGGTTTAGATCCGTTTACATTTAAATCCGGTAGGTGGCGCTGTTATCCAGATCCAGTATCACCTGTGCGAAGCCGGAGCGAATCACTGATAATTTATTAAAAATAATTTATTCCCTTCACAATTGGTTTTCTTAAAGTAGTTAATGATATTGTCATAATTAGATTCCACTTTTGTGAGAGACAGGACCCTGATGTAGGTGTTTGAAACTTTAAATGTTGAAGTTGTAACTCAGATTTTTAATCTTTGTTACAACTACATTTAAAGTTTTTATTTTCAACATAGCCGTGGTAACTCAGCGATCGCTGTAAATTGCACAGTACACGGGATAACCGGGTTCGACCTCGCCGGGACCCATGAAATTGTTAACTGCAATTTTGAGTGCTGATTTATCATGAAGAAAAACGTGAGGGATCTTGCATATCTGAGAAATTACGTTGTTCGCAAACATTGATGTGATTTTTAAGGGCATAACTTTATTTATCACTTGATGTGAAATTATTAAGGTTACTTTACCTTAATTTACTTTTTAATATTATAATGTTAATCTGCTAGGACTTTCGTCCTCTTTTCAATTCGCTCGTATATAAGAACTCGAACAGTTTGCGAGTTAAATTTTCATTTAACTCGCAAACCGTTTTCATATTCCAGTCGACCTTTCATGAGCATACAAGTAACCATAAACTTCAATTGTGTCTATTCTCTAGTTTGTACCATGCTACTGCTACTAAAGCAAGACTTATAGGCCTAGTCCAAGACCTTGTAATCAGTTATATCAAATACAAAGTGCCCTCACCATAAAATACTATAATCTCGTAAATTTGAATCGGATGTCAGCGCTGCGCATATAATTTTCAGAAACGTTCTTGAGGCCTTCTCCTGTCCGCGATAAACATAACACGTCTGGGTAAATTGTCTTAATTGGAAGATGTGGCGCTCAATTGCGAATTAACCGACAACTGGATTACCCGGGACTTAGTCATGCGACTCACTTACGATGTCAGTCAGCTATTTGTAGTTATGAACAAAATGTAAGATCGGCTTTGTTTATTTATCTAATATCGTGATATAGTGCTGCCATCTGCGGGGTTAGTCTTATTGATTGTCTACAATCGTAAACGCTAATAGAAAGATGTAAAAATTTAAAAATTATATTTTTTTAACATAAAGATAAGTCTTTACACTATGATTTTCTCCTGTATAGTGGAGGCAGTTTACATTCATAAATTTCACTAGCACAAAAATACAGTTATAGAACAATTACTTGTAGGCCATACAAATACTTAGGCCACGGAACCGTCAAGACGTCATATCTCAACGTTATTATAGTTTCTATTAGTATTAGTAATTTTATAAGTTACCTTTGCTAACCCCGCTTTGGTTCGAATATACCGAAAGGATACCGCAAGTGCACAGACAGTAACTCATTTTTACAGAATTAAAGTGACAAAGTTACACCTGACACGTCCACCTGATGGTGAGTGGATGCTGTGGCCTATAAACACTCTACACGCTCCCTACACCCCGATTAAGAATAAAAATGCAGATGCGGTGTCACTCCTGAGGACTAAGATGGAATGCTTCGTTTCCAGTAAAAAAAGATCTACGGTTACCTACACTCACGATACGAAACACAGCAGTTTTAAGCTGCTATTTTCTCGGGTGTTCTGTGAGAGCGTGGTACTTCCTTGATCGAGCCAACCCATCAGTGCTACAACTATATAGCTGCAACATGACTCTACCACATACTATAAGGGTAAGCGACTACTGCAGCTCTTGGATATCTGCAGCCAACTTCAAACAATTATAGTGCCTGTAAATAATAATATACTGGCTCTCTAGATGGACTCCTAGGCAAGAAAGAAGTGCTATCACTAAGTAAACTTTCCAATGTGGTAGAGCCACGTCGCAGATATATTATGGTATGCAGCACGAATGGGTCAGCGTGAAACATCACCTCAATGCTGCTGCGTTTCGTATGGTGAGTGTAGGCAACCGGAGACTCTTTTTATTGAATACGAGGCACGCCATCTTTGTCCTTATGGATGTATGACAACGCATCCGCATGTTGGTTCTTAATCGATTGGCAGCGTTCAAGCGTTGGACTCCATGCAACAACGGAATGCTACCACTAAGTAGGTGTATCGTAAACACTCTAACTAGGTTTCAAATTATAATTATGTAATACCTATAATTAGGCGAAATTATATCAAATTGTACTTAAATTAAAAATTTGCGAATAAGTAATTAATTAACAGCTTAAAGAGATTTCTTAGGTTATGCTCAATGCTTTACATTACAGTTTACTGTACTCACGCTCCAGTGGACATAGAGGACGACCCGCCATTTATTTATAAAAGACTATAATATATATCTCAATAAAATATTTCTTCCCTAGTCCCCATTATCGATCACTTAAAATTCAACTATATAGTTTTTTTTTCTCCTTTTTCATCAGCTTTTTTTGACCCTATTATAAATATTCTGAACTCAGTCTTAGAACCGACGATATTACAACAATTTCATGACCCTGACTTAGTATTCTCACAAAGATCATCAGCTCACGATCAAAGCGTGTGGTTTAAGTGTTTTTATAGAAATAAGGGTGACAAATTAGCACATAGTCCACCTGATGGTGAATGGATGCTGTGGCCCATAGACATCTACATTTATACTCGATTAAGAATCAAAACGCAGGAGGGCTAAGATTGAATGCCTCGTTTCCAGTAAAAAGGGTATCCGGATGTAGAGATCCGACTCACCATACGAAACACAGCAGTATGGTGTTCCGTGAGAGCTTGGTCCTTCCCCGGTCGAGCCGATCCATTCGTGTTACAACCATGATATAGCTGCAGCGTGACTTTACCACTTATGTTGTTATAAGCTGTTATTATTCATTTTAAGTGAAAATAATGAATTTAATACACAAATTATATCTATCTTTCTGACAATCGTATTTTATCCTTTTCTATTTTAGTGACAAATAATAAAACGCGCATTTTAATAGTAACGTTACAAAATAATAACAGTAGCTGAAGCTCTTTCTGGACTCTGCAGGGCAGCTGTAGTTTCTATAGAGGTCACGGGAGATATAAATTTTTTATAGAATAATGGTGACAAACAAGTACAAAGTGAACTTGATGGTATGTGGATCCTTGACCCACAGACATCTACATGTATTCTCGATTAAGAATGAAAATGCAGATGCATTGTCACCCCTGAGGACTAAGATGGAAAGCTTCGATTACAGTAAAAAAGGTTACCGGTTCTCGACACTCACCATTCGAAACACAGCAGCACTGAGCTGCTACTTTACGCTGGTATTCTATTCTGTGAGAGCGTGCTCCTTTCCCGACCCGATACATTCGTGCTACAGCTACCTTTGTGATTTTTTTACAGACAGTTGCGGTTTTCGAGGTAACAGATAGACGCTACAGAAATAAATGACGACAAGTTAATTTTTAACATGTTAGCTTACGTCTTGTAAGAATTGTGAACCTTTACATCAATTAATGACAAGAGGCAAAATGAACAGAGTATGAAAAAAAAGATTATGAACAAAAAAGGAGGTCATAGGATGTAATAATACAGTAGGATCTTTTTTTATTCATTATCTACTACCCATTTTATTTGTTTACCAGATCATTCGGTAATTCTGTGTAAATCTCTTGACACATTATAAAAAAATAGAGAAAAGCCGAATAGTCCGACTCCCCGTATTTTATAGGATTGATTTTGAAGTGTGCGCAAGAGTTTCATGATTTACTTCCCCCTCGCCTTTCCACTATCGGACGAGCAGATACTCGTCAAGTCTCCACACCATTGCTGTCGACTTCTACTTATTCAAAGTAGACAGTTTACTTCGTTGTTCGTAATACGTAGAGCAAGGAAGTGAAATAGTTAGCCAGCACCTGTTTTATCATCTGATTGCGATGGGATGTCTTCTGGTTAACAGTGAATAGGCTTTACCATCTTTGGCTACATCACCACTTTCAATTAGGTGGATTAGTAGTTATGTGTTGGCTTCTAATAGTTAAAAAATTAACTACATACGTTCTCCATACGTATTATACTCGTACCCCATGCGTATTGTGTGTTGGCAGTTATTCAGACATGTTATTACGCATTAAAAAAAACTTATTTTGAGGAAAACGCTGTGATGGAAATCCGACACCTTCAAGAACTTTTCCTTTTGCCACACGAAATCGATTCTGCCAAATGCTAACTATTATCAAATCCCTTAGGTAAATGCGATACATTTAAGAGCACTAAAATGAAATAATATAATTTCTGTAATACGAAATAAATAATTTTCATAGTAAGTAGTAAGTAAGTACATCGCGGTAACGGCTGTGCTACTTCAGGAACTGTGCGCTCAAAGAAATTATTAATTTAAATTTTTATCTGCTGATTTACCACATGTTCAAACCCGCACGTCTGAGGTAAAAAATATTTCAAAGATAGGTATATGAAGTTCGTTAACAGACACCGGAGCAGCGTTGCAGACTTACTGCTCCATAACACTCCCAGAAATGTGCGGAGGCCTGTGCCTAGCACTAGGACGATATATTGGATGTATTTTTCAAGAGAATGAATGTACACCTATGCTATATATTTTACTAAATAAATACTAATACTTACGAACATAAATGAAATTTGTCCTAAATGGATATATCACCGATTTGTAACGGGATGACATTACTAGTAATATGTAAAAATATTGTATATTATGTTAAATGATTAGTAATTACATAAAAATTAATATACAGGATAATCTGATTATAGTAGTACAATTTTATGTTTTAATTAGCCCCTATTCCTTAAACCATAAAGCACACATAGATAATTATTTTTATGTTATTGAAGCTCATCATATTGAATTTTTTTTTTAATCAATACTTACTTCAAAATTCCTGATTTCACCGCAATCCCGGTTATCCTAATAAACAACGTGGTAAACAAATACACTACAGGTCGCGTCGTATAATACACACACAATATTCACATAATTTTCCAAAGCAAATACAAAAAGGAAAGCGAACCGACTCGTCTTGGTGCGGAAAAACGGAATGATAAACAAAGGGCGGCGGGCCTGCAACACGCCTGCGTCGAGCCAACACTCGCGCCGATTTGATTTGCTACGGTTTGGCGCCAAGCAGCGCAGCGCCCCGACGCGGTCAGCGCATACATTCACGTGCGAATTTGACAGTTTTCATAGATTAAGACTTTTATATTTAGAATATGTTTCGAAAATATAAATTAAGTTCCGGAACGTTCCGGAAATATACCATAAACATTAATTTATTTTGTTTAATTATGATTAAATAGTGCAAAGACATATTGTATATAAGAACTTGAAGCCCCGAATGTGAAATTCAAACATATTTTTAAAACATCTTTGTGTGAAATTATTTTCTTCTTTTTAGTTATTGAAGTAGGTAGGTTATGGTTCACCTATAGAATATATGACCTCCGATAGGAGTAATAGTGTTCTGTGTATATGACTCTCTAGTACATATACAGACGTTCGCGCATAGGACACGAGTGCATCCGTTAGGTAATGTAATTGAAGTACTTTATTAATCTACGGGGAAGACCTTATTCTTCGAACTGTTCAGCAGCAGATATGTGATTAATCTACGGGGAAGACCTTATTCCTCGGCCTGTTCAGCAGCAGATATGTGATAATCTACGGGGAAGACCTTATTCCTCAACCTGTTCAGCAGCAGATATGTGATTAATCTACGGGGAAGACCTTATTCCTCGACCTGTTCAGCAGCAGAGATGTGATTAATCTACGGGGAAGACCTTATTCCTCGGCCTGTTCAGCAGCAGATATGTGATTAATCTACGGGGAAGACCTTATTCCTCAACCTGTTCAGCAGCAGATATGTGATTAATCTACGGGGAAGACCTTATTCCTCAACCTGTTCAGCAGCAGATATGTGATTAATCTACGGGGAAGACCTTATTCCTCGACCTGTTCAGCAGCAGATATGTGATTAATCTACGGGGAAGACCTTATTCCTCGACCTGTTCAGCAGCAGATATGTGATTAATCTACGGGGAAGACCTTATTCCTCGACCTGTTCAGCAGCAGATATGTGATTAATCTACGGGGAAGACCTTATTCCTCACCTGTTCAGCAGCAGATATGTGATTAATCTACGGGGAAGACCTTATTCCTCGGCCTGTTCAGCAGCAGATATATGATTAATCTACGGGGAAGACCTTATTCCTCAACCTGTTCAGCAGCAGATATATGATTAATCTACGGGGAAGACCTTATTCCTCAACCTGTTCAGCAGCAGATATGTGATTAATCTACGGGGAAGACCTTATTCCTCAACCTGTTCAGCAGCAGATATGTGATTAATCTACGGGGAAGACCTTATTCCTCGGCCTGTTCAGCAGCAGATATATGATTAATCTACGGGGAAGACCTTATTCCTCAACCTGTTCAGCAGCAGATATATGATTAATCTACGGGGGAAGACCTTATTCCTCAACCTGTTCAGCAGCAGATATGTGATTAATCTACGGGGAAGACCTTATTCCTCAACCTGTTCAGCAGCAGATATGTGATTAATCTACGGGGAAGACCTTATTCCTCGGCCTGTTCAGCAGCAGATATATGATTAATCTACGGGGAAGACCTTATTCCTCGACCTGTTCAGCAGCAGATATATGATTAATCTACGGGGAAGACCTTATTCCTCGACCTGTTCAGCAGCAGATATGTGATTAATCTACGGGGAAGACCTTATTCCTCAACCTGTTCAGCAGCAGATATGTGATTAATCTACGGGGAAGACCTTATTCCTCGACCTGTTCAGCAGCAGATATGTGATTAATCTACGGGGAAGACCTTATTCCTCGACCTGTTCAGCAGCAGATATGTGATTAATCTACGGGGAAGACCTTATTCCTCGACCTGTTCAGCAGCAGATATGTGATTAATTTACGGGGAAGACCTTATTCCTCGACCTGTTCAGCAGCAGATATGTGATTAATCTACGGGGAAGACCTTATTCCTCGGCCTGTTCAGCAGCAGATATATGATTAATCTACGGGGAAGACCTTATTCCTCAACCTGTTCAGCAGCAGATATGTGATTAATCTACGGGGAAGACCTTATTCCTCAACCTGTTCAGCAGCAGATATGTGATTAATCTACGCGGAAGACCTTATTCCTCGGCCTGTTCAGCAGCAGATATATGATTAATCAACGGGGAAGACCTTATTCCTCGACCTGTTCAGCAGCAGATATATGATTAATCTACGGGGGAAGACCTTATTCCTCAACCTGTTCAGCAGCAGATATGTGATTAATCTACGGGGAAGACCTTATTCCTCGACCTGTTCAGCAGCAGATATGTGATTAATCTACGGGGGAAGACCTTATTCCTCGACCTGTTCAGCAGCAGATATATGATTAATCTACGGGGAAGACCTTATTCCTCGGCCTGTTCAGCAGCAGATATATGATTAATCTACGGGGAAGACCTTATTCCTCAACCTGTTCAGCAGCAGATATGTGATTAATCTACGGGGAAGACCTTATTCCTCGACCTGTTCAGCAGCAGATATGTGATTAATCTACGGGGAAGACCTTATTCCTCGACCTGTTCAAGCAGCAGATATGTGATTAATCTACGGGGAAACTTATCATCAGCGTGTGATTAAACGGGGAAGACCTTATTCCTCGACCTGTTCAGCAGCAGATATGTGATTAATCTACGGGGAAGACCTTATTCCTCGACCTGCAGCAGGAGAAGTACCTACGGGAACCTTATTCCTCAACCTGTTCAGCAGCAGATATGTGATTAAATTCTACGGGGAAGACCTTATTCCTCGACCTGTTCAGCAGCAGATATATGATTAATCTACGGGGAAGACCTTATTCCTCGACCTGTTCAGCAGCAGATATGTGATTAATCTACGGAGGAAGACCTTATTCCTCGACCTGTTCAGCAGCAGATATGTGATTAATCTACGGGGAAGACCTTATTCCTCGACCTGTTCAGCAGCAGATATGTGATTAATCTACGGGGAAGACCTTATTCCTCGACCTGTTCAGCAGCAGATATGTGATTAATCTACGGGGAAGACCTTATTCCTCGACCTGTTCAACAGCAGATATGTGATTAATCTACGGGGAAGACCTTATTCCTCGACCTGTTCAGCAGCAGATATGTGATTAATCTACGGGGAAGACCTTATTCCTCGACCTGTTCAGCAGCAGATATGTGATTAATCTACGGGGAAGACCTTATTCCTCGGCCTGTTCAGCGGCGGATGTGATTAATCTACAGGGAAGACCTTATTCCTCGACCTGTTCAGCAGCAATGTGATTAATCTACGGGGGAAGGCCCTATTCCTCGGCCTGTTCAGCGGCGGATATGTGATTAATCTACAGGGAAGATCTTATTCCTCGACCTGTTCAGCAGCAATGTGATTAATCTACGGGGAAGGCCCTATTCCTCGGCCTGTTCAGCGGCGGATATGTGATTAATCTACAGGGAAGACCTTATTCCTCGACCTGTTCAGCAGCAGATATGTGATTAATCTACGGGGAAGGCCCTATTCCTCGGCCTGTTCAGCGGCGGATATGTGATTAATCTACAGGGAAGACCTTATTCCTCGACCTGTTCAGCAGCAGATATGTGATTAATCTACGGGGAAGGCCCTATTCCTCGGCCTGTTCAGCGGCGGATATGTGATTAATCTACAGGGAAGACCTTATTCCTCGACCTGTTCATCGGTAGATATGTGATTAATCTACGGAGAAGACATTCTTCAGCCTGTTCAGTGGTGGATATGTGATGGGCTTTAGTAGTAGTATTTTAGTAGGTGTTGTGTATAGTTTCAGTTTAATTTAAAATAAGTACATTCGAAATATTATCGATTGCCCAAAAATCACAGAACACTTTTCCCCAACAACGCTAAATCGAGAGGTTCAGGCCACATAAAATATGTATGTAATGAAATAAAACAATTTTTAAGTAAAGTTATCATTTAATTGTGTCTTTGAAAACTTAATAATAAAACATCTCATTTCTTACATTAACTACAAAAATATTAACCTTATATTATACTTTACAATTAATACATATTCAACTAGCTTAAAGTGAGTGGATATTTCAAATTCATCGATAATCATCAAATGATCAGACAGGCATCAAAAAATTCAGAACTAATAATTCAATTCTTAAGTAATGTGACAATCATAGGAAATACTTGTCAACACCACATTTCTAGTTGTTACAAATACAGACCTAAGAATGAACTTAATATCTAGATCAGTCTGGTTAAACATTATCGAATGGTGAGTTTATGATTATAGTACATTTCTAGGATACTACGGAACAATTCGTTTCACCAATGGCACCACAAATATAATGTGAATGTGTCGTGTAAAAGACTTTCTTCTAGTTTACAAGCTAGCAAGTCCTTCTTAAGGTACAGTGTAACCTTATGATTTTCTAATTTAAATGAAGGAAAGTTACACTAACAAAACAATCTGTGAATTTATAGCCGGGGAGGCCCCGCCACGCTGCTCCAGTGACAGTCGATGCATCAAATGATTAATTCCAGATTTCAAAATTAGAGCCATTTAGCTGGGAAAAGCAACCAGCGTTTTTAGCACTATACCGCGGGTACTGTTAGATTTTTTTTTATTACGGTAATAAATATGTAGGTTTAAATAAAAAAATTCTTGATTTTTTTTAGTACCCAATGGAATTAACTCTCCTAATTTGTTAACCTCTCCAATTAAAGTTAAATACTTGTGCTATATATTAAAGCCATAGCAGGAGGCATATGGACAAGAACTGCTAAGGATAGAGAAGAATGGGAAAGGTTGGGGGAGGCCTTTGGCAATAAGTGGCATACAGACAGGGTTGTCGATGTACAATAGTTAAGCGTTGAGAATGTAATTATATATAATATATAATCCAGTGTTAGATGTAGATTAATCCAGATAGATACCGTAAATGAAAAAATGTCTGAAATAAAGGCTATTATTACTATTACTTGTACTAGAAGTGGTACACAATGATAAGAAATGGCAGATTCTACCCTAGGAATCAGGTAAGGCGTTATCGAAGACTACTGTATGTTATTTAAGTTTAAGAACAAGTCTTCAAATACTAGTTTAAAAATAGTTTGCTGTAGGAAAATTTTGGCTTGCATTGTGTACTTAATACTAATCGTAGCGTGAATCAGAACGTATCTTGAACACAGTAGCGTGTGCGCGTGTGTATGTCAGTGGTGCGCGTCACGGATGAGCTCGTAGACCAGGCGCAGTGCGAACTGGAAGCGAGGCTCGGAAGCTCGGCGCTCCAGCCGCGGCGTGCCCAGCAGCGCCTGCAGTTCTGGTAGCGACTGCTCCACGTCTCCACCTGCGTAGAACAAGCATTGTGCAGTCATACCTCACTCGCTTACACGCGAGTGGAGTACTAGCATACGTGCATATGGGAAGGAGACGAGCAATTGTGTGATTGCTAAAACCATATTGTTGTATATAGGGCTAATATACGTAGGAAAAACTACTGTTTAATAGTTGACCGGAGAAAGAATTGTGATTGCATTCAGAGTAAATTGAGATTATTGAGTCGGGCAATTTGTCCAAGATAAATATACCCGTATTACACATATTATATAAGTACATAAAGTGTGTTACATGTATATGAAAGTATATATCTCTGCATACGCTACAAACGCATCGGCTGGTACAGGCAATATGTGCGTGCGCATGCGTGTGCATATGCGTGCAAATGTTCGTGTGCATGTGAATGTACACGTGCGTGTGCGTACAAGTATTCGTGTACGTGTGTAAGTAAGCGTACATTTACGTGTGCGTGCCACTGTTCATGTATATGTGTATGTACGCGTGCGTGTACGTATGCGTGCGTGCATACCCATGAGGTGCACGAGGTCGGCCAGGCGGTAGAGCGTGGAGTCGCGCAGCGCGTCGGCGGGCAGCTCCGCGCCGCTCCGCTCCCACTTCTCCCACGGCTCCTGCGCCACGCACGCACTCCACACCTAAACACAGCACCACGGTATTATCATTATCATCATTACAGCCCTTCACAAGTCCACTGCTGAACATAGGCCTCCCCCAAGTAATGCCACAAAGCACGGTCCTGAGCCACCTGCATCCATCGTCTTCCTGCATGTCTTACCAGGTCGTCACTCCATCTAGTGGGGGGTCGCCCTACACTCCGCCTACCGGTACGAGGCTGCCACTCGAGAACCTTTCTTCCCCATCGGTTATCTTCTTCTACGGTTCTTCGAGCTATATGGCCGGCCCATTGCCACTTCAGCTTACTAATCCGTTGGGCTATGTCGGTCACTCTGGTTTTACTGCGGATATCCTCATTTCTGAGTCTATATATAGAGACACTCCGAGCATAGCCCTCTCCATAGCTCGCTGAGCGACCTTGAGCGTCCTCATACGGCCAGCAGTGAAGGACCACATCTCTGATCCGTAAGTCATCACTAGCAACACGCACTGGTTGTACACTTTAGTTTTCAGAGATTGAGGTATACCAGACGAGAAGATGTGTCGTAATTTCCCGAACGCTGCCCAGCCGAATTGAATTCGTCGATTGACCTCTCGGTTGAAGTTGGACTTACCAAGTCGGACTATTTGTCCCAGGTAAACGTACTCGTCAACAACTTCGAGCATAGTGCTCCCAACAACTACCGGTATAGGTGAGACATGGACATTAAACATGATCTTTGTTTTGTCCATGTACATATTAAGACCTATCCGTTGGGAGACACCATTGAGGTCATTGAGCATAGTGCTAAGGTCCTCCAGCGATTCTGCCATAAGGACTATATCGTCGGCAAATCGAAGGTGAGTGATGTACTCGCCATTGATGTTAATACCGTATCCTTTCCAGTCCAGTAGCTTGAAAACGTCTTCCAATGCAGCGGTGAAGTGTTTCGGGGATATAACGTCACCCTGTCTTACACCTCTCTACAGTTGGATAGGTTTCGAGCTCTGATTCTGTACTCGGATAGCCATCGTAGCCCTACTGTACAAACACTTCAGCACTTCGATATACCGACAGTCAACTTGGCACCGCTGAAAGGACTGTAGCACCGCCCAAATTTCGACGGAATCAAAGGCTTTCTCATAGTCCACATACCCCTCGGCACATCCCGATGAGGAGGTGGAGGAAATGTATGAGGATATTATATTTCTAGAGCCATGTATTCCTCCAAAACCCACTAAACGGTGTTGATGGGAGACTTCAACGCAAAACTAGGCACAAGAGAAGGCGGTGAGCTGAAGTTAGGGAAATTTGGAGTAGGGCAACGAAACCGTAGGGGCTTGCAGCTGGCTGACTTTATGGAGAAAGCGGGACTCAAAAAAAAAATGACGACCAGACGCCAACTGTTCAGTGATGTCTCAGTGATCGCAAGGGTGTAAATCACCGAATGGTTAGAGGCAAACTGATCCTAAACGTTAAGTTGGAGAGGTCTCGTCTAATGAAGTCAACGCTCCCTCCCCCTCGTGTTCTAATCCAGAATCCCGAAAACTTTCAGCTCGACGTTACGTAACCGCTTTCAGTGCCTACAAGATTGCAATGCAGTGGACGATATGAATGACAAGCTCGTGGAAACTGTCCATGCGGTCGGAGCTAAGTTCTGCAAGAACCGCCGCAGAAGAACACAAAAACTCTCCGATCACACTCTTAATCTCATGGCTGTTAGACGGGAGATGAGGCTGCAATCGTCAAAAGATTTGACAGCATACAGGCAACTGAACAGACAGATCTCCAAATACGTGCGGCAAGACTTACACAACTTTAACACTGCTCGTATTGAAGAAGTGATGGAGCGGAACCAGGGCTCCAAAGTCTTTGCCAGAGATCTGTCTGCCAGTAAGAAGCAACTGTCAAAGCTGAAGACTGAGTGTGGCAGCATCGTTTCCGGGACACCTGAGATTTTGAGTGAGATTGAGAGGTTCTATGGGCAGCTGTACACATCATCGTTGGAGCCACACGCAAGTGTGAATAACTATCCAAGAGCAAGTCTTACCCGACACTATTCCGATGATATCCTGGACGTCAGTCTGAGCGAGATTAGAATGGCTCTCCAGCACCTTAAAGACGGCAAGGCCCCAGGCGAGGATGGAATTACAGCGAAGCTTCTGAAAGCGGGTGGAACACCGGTACTTGAAGTCCTTCAGAAGCTCTTCAATTCCATCCTCCATGGTGGCACTACTCCGGAGGCGTGGAGCAGAAGTGCGGTGGTCTTGTTATTTAAGAAAGGCGACAACGCTCTCTTGAAGAACTACAGACCGATTTCCCTTCTGAGCCGCGTCTACGTGCTGTTTTCGAGAGTCATTACGAATCGTCTCGCATGCAGACTCGACGACTTCCAGCCTCCCGAACAAGCCGGTTTCCGAAGAAGCTTCAGTACCAGAGACCACATACATACCCTGCGGCAGATTATACAGAAGACCGAAGAGTACAATCTGCCACTTTGCCTGGCGTATGTGGACTATGAGAAAGCCTTTGATCCCGTTGAAATTTGGGCGGTGCTACAGTCCCTTTAGCGGTGCCAAGTTGACTGTCGGTATATCGAAGTGCTGAAGTGTTTGTACAGTAGGGCTATCTGTCTCATCCCCGTGCCTCGCAAAGCACATAAGGCCGTTGGTTGACGGAGGCTCCTCAGTTCACATACTGCAAGCGCGGCAGTCCCGTTTTGACTGTCGAACTGATATGCGCAAGAGGCGTATATACATTCGCATACCCAACCATAGCGTACGACGTATGTTGATGACAGAATGTTTCTTTAATCTACACATAAACTTCATAAATCATATATCATTTCTTGAAAAATAGTCTCGATCTGAAATGAGACAGCCTTGTACTTGCAAGCTCACTTACTAGATGTATGAGTAATAAACTGATTACTTGTTAAGGTACCGATGCCGTTGTATTCAGGCAGTGGTAATCTGTTAAAACGCCTGTGTTTGCAATAATATCATCATGCTAAGTTGAAAATACCTGTAATCGAAGTTCTTCGCGTTGATCTTCGTCTTCGATGAATTCCGTGAGGTCTAAAGCTGTCTTGTAGTCATACTCCGTTAGGGATTTGCTCTCCGAATCGATATATAACTGCAACAAAACATCTATAGTATATGTATTTTATTTTTGTGAAATATGATTTATAAAGTGTGACCAAGTGTAAAAATGATATAACCACTCTAAATGTTTGTACGCAATGGCTCCTGCATAATTATAAAAACCACTGGCAGTCAGTAACTGATAAGTGGCAATGTTCTAGTATGCAGAATAAACATTTTCTAGACTTGTGGTATCGTTGGTACGAGGTTATCGGGTTTGCGCAATCTGAGCTCAAAAGTATTTGAAAAATATACCAAGTTATATTACTATAATATATAATAATTTTTGTTGGATCAGAATTGGACAAATTTTAGGGTATTAACACAACTTCGTACAGACAGACGCAGTGAAGAGCGACCTCCCAAAACAATTCATGTGGCATTGCAGTTAATGGAATAAATCTTTGTTTGGTAGTGAACGATGTCATGTAATGATGTAAAATAAATATAGCAAGCATACAGCCAAAGTGTGACCCACTTCTGGCAGGAGGCCACGTCTACTGCGATTTCCCAAAATGTTTTTGAGCAATTAGTTCACCACGATGCTTGGACGCTTGTTAGCAGACTGCACATTTTTTAAAAATATTTATTTACAGTATACAAGGCGCACTTTCAAAAATTTATATATCAGGCAATGGGTTGTGTACTAGCATAAATTGCTACAGGTTTCTAAAGCGTCATCGTAAATCCTTTTAGTTACTATAACTCTGTAAAGTGGTATAATTTAAGAATAAGTTTTGTTATTGTTAAGGATAATCATGAAAGTACATTTACTTCATTTTATCAGTATTTCTATTTTAGTTAAATCTCTGAATTCTTTGGATAAAATTTAGTCTAGATCACTCCTGGTATTATACTCCATTCATTCGTGAATTTTTATTGCAATCGGTTCAAACATTCCGAACATTAGCTCGGACAAACAAGCAAACGAAAATTTTAAAAACGTAACTTATTTCTCAATGGCAAAAATAAATTTAAATATCATTAAATTATGAAAAAAAAACTCAGAACGCGTCGTAGCTCACAAATGAGCAAAACTGGGCTGATTTTTTGTTGTTTATCGCATTTTGTTATTTAGTTCAATAACAAGTTGGACTGAAGTTATAGAACGTATGAAAAACACATATCGCATCGTATTTTTTTATACAGTCGTTACCGGCGGGTGTGAGTATAGATAGCGACAGTGTGCAAGCGAGAGATGAATAGAGGCACCGCCATTTTCAATCTCGTTCTTTAATCGCACGGGTAGTAAGTATTATTTTGTAGTTAAAGCTAATAATGTTTGAGACTTTGAAGCTTTACGAGTGCGAGACCTCGACCGAGGTAGGGTACTACGTTGTTACTATATCATTATACCAGATCAAAATAGCAATTTAATGCTGCTGTGTTTCGTATGGTGAGTGTAGGGAACCGGAGACCCTTTTTACTGGAAACGAGCCGTTCCATTTTATCTCCACGGGTGAGATACATGTGTATTTAGTTTGTTTATTAAGGATACATATAAATATGTATCGGCCATTTGATCCAGTGACCTTCAGGTGGAGTGCGTGGTCGTTTGTCGTCGTTATTGTATACTGGAGCACAGCTCACCTGCAGCAGCTGCTCGGGCTCCGCGAGCGGCGCGTCGGGAGCTGCCACGTCCTGTGCGCGGAGCGCGGCGGGCAGCGCAGCCTGTAGCTCGCTCAGCGCCAGCACGCGCTCCACCTGGCGCCAAGTATCCGAGGACCGCTCCTCTGCCTCGTCAGAGGCCAGCAGGCACAGCTTCGCGAGCGACGCACACGTCTGGAAGAGAAATATCTTTCAGTTATTGCGTTGGCTACAAGGCTTTCGGCCTAAATAATATACTACACACATCAAAAAAAAGATTTGCAATCAGTTTGAAAAATCTAAATATTTTATGTAAAGGTAAACTATAATTATAATTTTTTCTTCATTTTAGATTCCATACTTGAAAATTTTGAATTAGAATATAAAACAAGAAAACAAATTCAATTATTTTTGCATATAAAAAGAAATTAAAACTCACTGCGGCAGTACTCACCGCGGCTCCGTGGGTAGGCGCGAGGCGTGCGAGCGCGTGCGCGGCGGCGGCGTGTTGTCGCGCGGCGAGGCGCTGCAGTGCCAGCAGCTGGACGCGCGTCGGCTCGTCCGCGCCGCGCAGCCAGCGCTCCAGCCGCTGCCCGCCCCGCTCGCTGAACTCACGCACCAGCAACGCTCGCTTTGCGCCCGAACCCGACGCCAGCCACGCGAACGCGATCTCCGCCATGCCCTGCCGGCGCAGCACATTTCATTAAAATCCTTCTCGATAATCACGACGATCTTTTTATATAAAGTATCCATAAAAATGGATAACTCGCCGGATACTAGCAAAAACAATATATATATATATATATATATATAAAAAATTTAAAATATCTACATCACACAGCTCTAATTCCGTTCTCCATGGTGGCACTACTCCGGAGGTGTAGAACAGAAATTGCGTTGGTCTTTCTTCAAGAAAAGCGAAAACGCTTTCTTGAAGAACTACAGGCCGATTTCCCTTACGTCTGTCTACGTGCTGTTTTCGAGTCATTATGAATCTTCTTGCATGCAAACTCGACGACTTCCAGCTTTCCGAACAAGCCGGTATCCGAAAAGGCTTTAGTACCATAGACCACATAGATACCCTTCGGCAAATTGAATAGCAAACTAAGGAGTACGGCCACTGTTGTCTTGCGTATGTGGACTATGAGAAAACCTTTGATTCCGTCGAAATTTGACCGTTGCTGCAGTCCCAACAGCAGTGACAAGTTGATTGTTGGTATATCGAAGTGCTGAAGTGTTTCTACAGTAGGGCTCCAGGCAAAAGCTCCAGCCGCTGGGAATTCATGCGGATCTGCTTAGATGGGTCAAATCTTATCTGACTTTATTACTATTCCATCTGGCGTGCTCTCATCTTGGCCCTCTTTTCTACAACGCACACATGTTTGATATACATACATTTATAAGTAATATCCATCATTTAAGAAGATATTTCTCAAAGTTCGTACTATTGAAGACTGCGAATCAATTCAAAAAGATCTTGCCTCTTAATATAACTTTTACGTAGCTAACGCCATAAATGTAAGTATACCTAAATGTCAATGTATATCTTTCACCAGAAAACTAAATCAAATAGTATTTCCCTATAATTTTAATGGAATTTTGATTAAGAGGGTTACAGTTGTTCGGGCGTACTCTTTGATGTTGGCATGACCATGCGAGATCATATCGGACTTTTTCGGATTCTGGACTGGAAAAGATATGAACATGGACAAAATAAAGGTAACGTCCATTTCACACCTATGCCGTGTATGCGTATTTGTTGGTAGCATTAAGCCCGAAGTTGTTGACAATTATGTTAACCTCAAACAAATAGTCAACTTCGATGGAGAAGTCAATCGACGGATTCAACTCAGCTGGGCAGCGTTCGGGAAATTACGACACATCTTCTCGTCAAGTATACATCAAAACTTAAAAACGAGATTGTACAACCAGTGCCTATTGCTGGTGATGACTTATGGATTTTAGACGTGGTCCTTCACTGCTGTTCGTACGAGAAAGCTATATTTAGAGTTTCTCTGCGTGATATACTTAAAAACGAGGATATCTGCAGTAGAACCAGAGTGACTGACATAACCCAACGGATTAATGGCAATGGGCTGTCCATATAGCTCGAAGAACCGACAATCGATGGGGAAAAAAGGTTATCGAGTGGCAGCCTCGTATCGGTAGGTGAAGTGTTGGGAGACCCCTCACTAGATGGAGTGATGACCTGGTAAGACATGCAGGAAGTCGATGGATGCACCTGGCTCAGGAGCGTGCTTTGTGGTGTTCCTTGGGAGAGACCTATGGTTTGTAAAAACAAGTAATGATGATGATGTAGTATAAAATTACCTCGTGCGCGTACTTGTCGATAAGGGCGTGCAACCGCGGCAGATCCCCGTCGTCCACGCACAGCTGCACCAGCAGCTCCCACTCCTGGAACTTCTCCGCCAGCGCGGCCGCGCGCCGAGTCTGCCCTATCTCCACTGCAACCCACACGACAGTGTCACACATTGCCCAACTTCAACTAGATAACTCTACATATATTTTAGGTGATTCTAAAACTATATTCAACATATTGTAAGACTAGTAGTCCGGTCAATTTAGACCAAAAAATGAGAGTGAAGTTACATAAAGTCTCAACAAGCTGAATTTCAGTGAAATTGTTCAAAATATAATTATAAACAATGTCTAGAAGTTCCCCATCATTCCCCTGTAAGGAAAAAATTTTATTCAAGGTCAAAGGTCAAAAAAATTAGTTTTTCGCGATTTTCAGCAAAACGGTAAGTTTTATCATAAAAGTACCTCAGACAAAAATTGTAGATCATAAAATTATCTATAAAAAATGTATCAATACTTTTTTTCTTACAAGCCACCGTACAGCAATTTATCAAAAACATAACATGTAACTAACTAGTTCTTTAAAAACTCTTTTGGTTTACAAATCTCTTATTGACAACTACTTCCTGGTAAAACAACTATTTATTCCATTATCAACTTTTAACTCAAATATTGTTTTAAATCGTAGAATAAATAATTGTCGATTTGATTATTAATCCTGGTAACTGAAATTGCTTAAGTAACCTAATGAATTCAATAAAAAGTTTTTGTATAGTCAAGTATTGACCAATCAAATCGTCGACCAATCAGAGCACACCTAAGTCGTTATTACGTTTTCCTTATTGAATGAACGCGGGAACAGAATCACTTCAGTTCCTACGCTCGCCAGTGTAGTTCTATTTTCCTGGTAAAACTTTGCAAGTATTATTTGTGAGTCTCATAATAGGAAGTGTAGAATAAAGTTGTAGTGCAAAATTAAAAGGGTAAGATCTCTTTCATTACAATGGACAGTATACGGTAGCTCGACTGAACCCTTGTCAAATGGGGACAGTGGTGCTGCCTCACCATAAAAACAACCACTGGGTTTTCCGCTCCAACAATCATGTACACACTGCAGTATGGTCAAACTGTAATTACTCTATGCTGAATGTATAGAGCGTTACGCTGTCCTATTATTGATAACAATAAATTGCGCAAGCAAGAGAGCAAGTTGAATAGCAGCTCTCACATTTTTACAATTTTTAATAATTAACGCTATCCTGTTATTTCCCACACAATTGGCTTATCGTGTTATACTTTCCGACATATATATAAAATATTTTCGGTCATTGTAACTTATACTTACAATATAAAATATACATAAGTTTGAACTATAAGAATATCAGGTAAAATGAAATGTTTGAAAAACAAGATTTAATTCAATGTTCTGAAGTTTTTAAAAAGAGTAATTCAACTCAACAAGAAGTTATTACCAACGGCATCCGCTTTCTTCTTTCTATGTACGGAGCTCCTAAAAAAACTACCTGTTTAGATAAGCATCGATATGCATGTTTCGTTAAAAATACTAAAAATAAAAAACAAGTTCAATTAGCTTGTCTTCCTCCAACCTCAGTTGCTGCTCACCAACATCTTTTTCGAGTATATTACCAAGTTCAAGTGTGGCTTGGTTATCAGCTAGACCCTACAGACTGGGGTTGGAAGTTGGTCAACAATATATTAGAGCCAGTTCAAACTTTACTTCCACCTGCGCCGGAAAAACTGCTGAACACTATTTTTTGCAACTGCAAAAAGGGATGCAGTGCTAAACGTGGTTGCAAAAAAGTCGGACTGTCTTGTTCTTTGGCATGCACAAATTGTCAAGGTCGGTCGTGCTCTATTATTGAATCACAAACAATGGAAGATTCGTTTGACTCCGACGAAGTATCATGCGATACATCGCTATTGACGCAATTTACTTGCATCCAAAATGAAGATGAAGAAGAAGCAGGAGAAGAAGAACAAGAAGAAGATCAAGAAGAAGAACAAGAATTTGAAACTTACGAATAAGACTAATAAACTTCAACACTTTTTTTTAATTTACATCGCTTTTATCTTTCCCAATCTTTGAAAATTTCCGTTATTATGCAATAGTTTTACATTAAACAGGAGCACAACTGACCCGTGGAGTAGGCATACTGGGGAAACCACGTTAAAAAAACGCGCTAAGTACACTACCTCATAGGTGGCGTGGAAACGTGTGCATATTATGACGATAACAACTTTTATAACTTTTTGAATCGTTATATCTCAGAAACGGTGGCTCGTAAGAAAAAAAGTATTGATACATTTTTTATAGATAATTTTATGATCTACAATTTTTCTCTGAGGTACTTTTATGATAAAACTTACCGTTTTGCTGAAAATCGCGAAAAACTCATTTTTTTGACCTTTGACCTTGAATAAATTTTTTTCCTTACAGGGGAATGATGGGGAACTTCTAGACATTTTTTATAATTATGTTTTGAACAATTTCACAGAAATTCATCTTGTTGGGACTTTATGTAACTTCGAATGTCTAAATTGACCGGACTATAGCTATATTTACTTTTATGTTTAAGAAACAAATAAGTACTTGCAGATCTATAACAGTGGTCTCTGTCTGTCTTCAACTATCGAAAAATGACTATAAATTATTCGTGATATTATAGTAAAATATTATAAAATATATTGAATATCTATTATTTTATGTACAAAAAGGTTTACCCATTTTATCTTAAAAGTTGTGGTTTAAAACATAACACAACAACAAAAAATTAAAAAAAAAAGGATTGTGCATTATAATGAAAAATAAAGTTTCAGAATTCTCTTTTGAAGAAATCTTTTTTTTTTTGTCAAAATTGCAAAAACGTTATTCGATACTTTTTTATAAATTTTACACTTTATGAAAGTATCATATCATAATGACGATAGACTACCGCAGGAGGGTACCAGCACCCCTGGAGAATCCCTCGCTGAGCATCCACGACCATGTTTCTCCACTTCTGAGCGTGGGTGCTCAGGCTGCCCCGCGTATTCGGGGGGGGGGGCGGCAAAATCGCTCAAGACTACAACTGCTCGGGGCAAACGGAGCAACAAGACCAAGGCGACCCCTGCCAGGCTGTCCGTGAATTTCTGCAATATCAGGGGACTTCACTCTAACCTAAACGCCGTCCACTACCATCTCGAGACAGCAAGGCCGGCTCTGATCTTTCTGACCAAGACGCAGGTGTCCTCTCCGGCTGATGTCTCGTATCTCTCCTGCCCGGAGTACAAACTGGAACACTCCTTTGTGCCTCGGGCTGGAGTTTGCGTTTACGTCAGAGAGGACATCTGTTCTCGACGCCTCGCAGACTTGAAGGATCGGACCTGTACATCCTTTGGCTACGCGTAGACAGCGACGACCATCCGCGCATCTACGGGTGCCTCTATAGGTCCCATAGCGGTAATGCCGAAACAGACCGACTCTTCGACCACGTCCAAATGGCTACAGATTCGTTGCTACAGCAGATCCCCTCCGCAGAGATCGTGATCCTCGGCGACTTTAACGCCCATCACGCCGAATGGCTTGGTTCACGTTTAACCGATCATGCGGGGAGATCTTCGCCTACGCGGATTCCAGATGTGGGGAGGATCATGCAGCTTCCCTGTTGGACCTTCTGCTGACCTCTCACCCGGACGAATATCAGATTTCCGTCGACGCCCCTTTAGGCTCCTCGGACCATTATCTTGTCCGGAGTGTGGTGCCACACATGCTGAATTCGCAGTTGCATTCTGCAGGCTGCCGCCGTGTTTGGCACTATAGGTCAGCCGATTGGGATGGGATGCGGTCTTTTTTTGCATCCTACCCTTGGGGGCGGGTTTGCTTCTCGCCAGATGATCCCAACGTTGTTGCGGATTCTATCGCTGATGTGGTACTTCAGGGTATGGAACTTTTTATTCCTTCCTTCTGTGGTGAACAATGGAGGCAAATCTCAGCCATGGTTTAGTAGCTCCTGTAAAATAGCATCATGCTATAAGCAGGAGTGCAACCAAGCCTGGGCTGACGCATGTCCCGATGTAAAGACCAGCGCTCTAAAAAAAGAAGTATAATTCCGCCTCTAGGTCCTTCAAAAGAGTCATTGCCAAAGCAAAGTCAGAGCACATAGGCAGAATTAGCGATAAACTAGTTCGCCTTCCTTCTGGAACCCGTGCATTCTGGTCTCTTGCCAAGGCTGTCCAGGGGAATTTGTCAGCCATCTCTTCCATCTCTGCACAGGGTAGACGATTCACTGGCCCATACCGCAAAGGAGAAAGCCGATCTTCTAGGCTCTTTCTTTGCGTCCAACTCGACTCTCGATGACGGGGGGGAGTACGCCGGCGACCATCCCGCAGTGTGAGTGCTCCATGCCGGAAGTGCAGATCACACAGCGCTCTGTTCGCAAAGCACTCCTCTCCCTGGACATCCACAAGTCGAATGGGCCTGACGGAATCCCCCCAATTGTGCTGAGGATGTGTGCACCAGAGTTGGCACCGGTTTTAACGCGTCTTTTCCGGTACTCCTACGAGGGCGGCACTGAAAATTTCGGGGATCAAGGAAGTGACACATTACTATTTAAAAATGTATTTATTGCTTTTCGAAAGTATTCTCCGCGAAATTTGACACATTTTTCTATACGATGGAACCAATCATTGAAGCAACCATTCCATTCGGAAGTTGGGGTCACCAAAATGGCCGTTTTATAGGCGTCCACAGCTTCTTCAGGTGATGAAAATCTCTATCCACGCAATTTATTCTTTACTTTAGGGAAAGTATAGAAATCATTAGGGCTTAGGTCGGGGCTGTACGGCGGATGGTCTAATAATTCTATGTTTTCTTGCTCTAAAAACTCTTTTGTTCTGTGTGCGTGTGAGAACTCGCATTGTCGTGATGGAAGATGATGCGGCGGTTGCAGTTCTCGTTACGGAGTTCAGAAACGACCTGCGGCAAACAAATGCTAGCATACCATTCTGCATTAACCGTTCTTTGTCCCTCAATAGGAATAGTCGTAACATGGCCGGTTTTGGAGACAAATGTGGCCACCATTTTTTTTGCAACACTCCGTGAACGAACAATTTTTGTTGGCTTTAACTCATTTTCGAACACCCAAACTCGTGACTGGTTTTTTGTTTCGGGTTCGTACGCGTATATCCAGGATTCGTCACCTGATACGATGTTGTATACAGCATTTGAGGATCCTGCGTGGAATCTTTCGAGAGTTCTAACGCACCAAGTAACGCGAGCCGCTTTTTGCTATTCACAGAGCGAATGCGGTATCCATCGGGAAAACAACTTTTTTACACCTAATTCATTCATGCAAGATTATTTGTATTTGACTCACGCCAATGTCTAAAGATACCTGAATTTCGCGGTATGTCACATGTCGATCTTCCTCAATCAGCTTACGCACAGCATCAACGTTTTCTTGGGTGACTGTAGTTTTTGGACGACCTTGACGGGGATCATCACTGAGCTTGACACGTCCACGTTGAAATTCAGCAAACCAGCGATAAATTGTGGTTTTTGATGGGGCTTCATCACCAAATGCAGAAATTATCCGGTCAACACACTGTTTTTGTGTTAAACAACTTCGAAAGTCATAATTTAATTATTGAATTTTCTCGAGTAAATTCCATTTTCTCAACGACTAAACAAGTTTGACAAAACCTTGTGACAAGACCGACAATCTTTTTTTTAAATAAATAAATGGTATTCGATTTTTAAAACCAATGAGTTTTCAATTAAAAAGATTTTAATATGACAGGAACAGTGGAAATATTCCATTCCCGATACTTTTAGTGCAGCCTATGTACTCCCTAGGCGTAGTCCCAAAATCATGGAAGACGGCTTTCGTCCACCCGATCCCTAAAAAAGGCGACCGCTCAGACCCGTCCAACTACGGCCTATTGCCATCACCTCCTTGTTATCCAAAACAATGGAGTCTATTGTTAACTGTCAGCTCATGAGGTACCTAGAGGATCACCAGCTGATTAGTGACCGCCAATACGGTTTCGCCGTGATCGGTCAGCTGGTGATCTTCTGGTCTACCTAACTCACAGATGGGCGGAGGCAGTAGAGTCCAAGGGGGAGGCATTGGCCGTTAGTTTGGACATTGTGAAGGCCTTCGATCGGGTTTGGCACAAAGCGCTTCTTTCGAAGCTCCCTTCCTATGGGCTTCCTGAGAAATTGTGCGATTGGATCACCAGTTTTCTTGCAGATCGGAGCATCAAGGTCGTTGTAGACGGTGCAAGCTCCGATTGCAAGCCTATTAAAGCTGGTGTTCCACAAGGCTGCGTGCTATCGCCAACGCTGTTTCTTCTGCATATCAATGATATGTTGCAAACCCGTAACATTCATTGCTATGCAGATAACAGCACTGGTGATGCTCTACCGGCCGAGCCAATATTTCTCGGGAAATCGTCTCCGACTGCCGAGACAAACTTGCGTCTGAAGTCGAGTCTTTGCTGAACAGAGTCTCGGATTGGGGGCGACTAAATCTAGTCCAGTTTAATCCCCAGAAGACACAAGGTTGCGCGTTAACCGCTAAAAAGAACACCTTTGTCGTATCTCCTCAGTTTCAAGGCACTCCCCTTGTTGCCTCAGTCAGTATCGGAATCCTCGGCGTTGACATATCGAGTGACGTGCAGTTTCGTGGTCACTTGGAAAAGAAGGCCTCTAAAAAGCTTGGCGTGCTCAGCAAATGCGGTCAAGTGGAAGGAGCTGGTACTGGGGAGCCCCAGCCCAGAGATGGGAACAGTATTTCATCTGAGGCCGAATTGGCGTTTTGTAAAGTTGCAAGCGGTGTGCTGCTATGAGATACTGTCTCGTTCTGCTGAGTACGCTAAGCAAATATTTATTTTGATAATACAGAGAAACGATTCAATTTTATTAATATATATGAGATATGTCTAGATCATGCACTTACACTCATATATGTAGTTTAAGTTATTACTATTCAAAAATTTGGTTAGGTGTATATGTGTGCGTCCAGCGGTGTGTTTGTGTAAGGGTGGTAAAGAAAAGTATAGTATAGTGTATGGTTTAATAGGTACGGTGTAAGAGCTGTGCGTGTATTGTTACTATGTATTAAAATCTACTGATGAACATAGTTTTTTAAATATTATTTCATAGGGGGGATATTTGTTATAGTTGTTACGCTTGGCAAGCGGGTTGACGACAACCGCAGTTTTTTATTTTTTATCGTAATTAGGATGATGTTGCTGCTCGTCTCTTTGCTTAGCTCCCTGTCGCCTTTTAATACACGCGCGGGATGATTATATGAGGAGTGGATATTGTTAGAGCACACACACACAGTACACAGTAAGAGCGGTGTATGAGCAGTGGTAATGCAGTGTACCGTATGGGCGGATGAGGTCGCGGCGCAGCGCAGCGTGCTGGTGCGAGTGCTGCTGCTGCGTGTGCTGCTGCTGCGCGGCCAGCAGTAGGTCGGCCAGCGCCGCCGCCGCCTCCAGCAGGCGCGCGCGCAGCGTGGTGTCCGCGCACGCGCGCGCTAGCGTCCTGCACAAACCGCGTTATGTACGTACGGCACGCAAGGGAAACACATCGCACACCCAATACCAACTGGATGTTCCGCCGCTATTTAATGGCTGGTTTTTGACGTACTAATTTATCAATGAGTTACAGTGGTAAAAGCCACGGGTTCGAATCCCACACAGAGCATGTATGCCCTACAAAAACATGTTATGGTGTGAATATATAACTTTGGACAATTCATGTATATTAACTACCCGCACGATTACACGAGAAAATTCTAGTGGAGAGATAACGTTTTAGACGTTATCTCGTCTTTTAAACGTTTTTACGTAGTAGAGCCATGCTGCAGTTATATTAATAGTATAGTTGTAGCACGAATGGGTCGGCTCAACCGGGGAGGAACCACGCTCTCACAGAATACCAGCGTCAAATAGTACCTTAATGCTGCTGTGTTTCGTATGGCGAGTGTAGAGAACCGGAGACCCTTTTTACAGGAAATGAGGCATTTCACCTAAATCCTCACGGGTGACAATGTATCTGCATTTTGTTTCGTAATCGAGGACAGATGTAGATGTCTCTGGACCACAGCAACCACTTACCATCAGGTGGACTGTGTGCTCGTTTGTCACCCTATTCTATAAAAAAAGATTGAGTTTGGTACTTTCTACTTATAAATAATTAATGCAATAAACGAGTTTTAAGAACTTATATTTCGATCTATATCAACTCATCATCATCATTCGTTTGCCTTATGAAGGTAATACTTGCCACTGTTATCCCACTTGGCAAGCTTAACAATCGCAATACATTTTTCTAACAAATTAACTTCCCCCGCTATAAAGTAGTGTCAAATATTTCAACTTATTCCTAAGTGACACCACCATAGTGGCAAAAAAACCATAGATAACTTCATTGCCACTACTGACTATAATTAGTAATTACAATGGCACCACGCAAAAAGAACTTTACGGTTCCCGTCGCTTACTATACAGAATAGCACCATGTCCTTTACATTTCACTACACACAAAATAACGAAAACGACAGTGCACACTGTGTATACAACAGCAACAAGCTTATTAAATTTAAACACCGGAAACTAAGAACGAGGGTAGATTGAACAACAAAACCAAACCAAACAAAACCAGAAGAGTTTAAAATAATTTTTATTTTTCGACGTAATCACCACTTTTCTCAATGCACTTCTTCGATCTGGTTTCTAAAACAATTATACCATTTTCAAAAAATGCCTTACCTTGCTCCTCAAAATAGGCATTAACGGAAGCTCTGCAACATCAATCTCTTCGTTTGATGAATATTTCTTACCTCCAAATTTTTTTTTAATTGGGGAAAATTTGTGCACTTTTGGCATCATTTGAAGTCAGATGGTGCCAATCGGGCCAATAAGCGGGGTGTAGGAGTAACTCGAACCCACTATTATCGATTTTAACAATCGTTTCGTAGAACGTGTGAGGGCGTGCGTTGTCTTAATAAAACAACACTTTTTTGATTAACATTTCATCACACAATCGACATAAAAGCATACAGTAATAAGTTGAGTTTATGATGGTTCCTTTCGGTAGGTAATCAACCATAATGATTTCCTTGGAATCCCAGAATACTGATACCATCACCTTGCTTAGAGACAAAATCACTTTAGCTTTCTTCCGAGGCGGTGAACCTGGTCTCATCGATTCTTTTGATTGTTGTTTTGACTCAGGAGTACTGTAATGAACCCAAGTTTCATAAATAGTAACACCTCTCTAAAAAGTTTTGTAGATTGGCTTGAAACAACTCCAAAAAATCGCACGTAATCGCAAGTCGCTTACGTTTATGTTCGGCTGAAAAAAGTCCCGGTACCCATCTCGTAGAAACCTTCGAAAACCCCAATTCATTATTAATTATATTTTGAGTTCGTTCATACGATATGTCTATGATCTCAGCTATCTCTCTGATTTTCAATCTACGGTCCCCCAGTATCAAATCGAAAAATTTTCCGATGTTTTCTTCAGTACTCGAAGTTGATAGCCGTACAGTATATGCGTGGGTCATCTTCAATGCTCTGCCGACCACGTTCAAATTCTGCTAACCACTTTTTAACAGTTGTATACGATGGAGCAGATTCTTTTAAAGTCCCCACCATAACTTCGTAAATCTGTTTCGGCACTAACCCTTTCTTGAACAGATACTTAATAACAGCGCAATGTTCAATTTTCTCCATTTTTGAAAATCGCTTCACGCGCTCATTAAAACTGTTAACTCTTAACCAAAAGTAACACTAAAATGATACTTTACACAATGACGACTAAAGAGTTACTCAATATAATGAAGGCAGAAAAAAATTCAATTCAATTCAAATCATTTATTGCGAATATAGGTTGATACAGATGGTATTGTCATAGTTTATCACTTAGAGAACAAATACTTAGTACAGCTATATTCCGCCATTTGGCATGCAATATTCATTACATTTTATTAGTTTTATATTAAATTATTTAAACATGCTTTATTTATAATTGGAGTTCAAAATCAAAATTAATAGCGATATGTCCATTTAGATAATATTATATAAGTCAAGTCAATTTAGTTATACTGTCATATATTAGTCAATTATTGAATTTCATATTTATCTTCGAGATATTCTTTCACACTGTAGTATGCCCTATTAACGAGAAATTGCTTCAATAGTATTTTAAAAATATCAATGTTGGAACATCTAAAAATGTGTAATGGTAAATGGTTATAAATTCGAGGGGCAATACAAAATATGCTGTTGGTAAATTGGGCTGTTTTGTTTGATGGAAAACATATTTTATGATTATTACGTTTACTGTGTAGGCACTCAAATAAAGAAATATGCGTAATAACAAAGACGGCTACCTCATATATATAAAGACATGGAAGTGTTAACAGTTTCAGACTAATAAAAAATGGTTTACAACTATCCGTCTGTTTTGACTTCACAATAGCCCTTACACATCTCTTTTGGGTTCTAAATATCATATCATTGTCTACAGAGTTACCCCAAAAAATGACACCATACCTTAACACTGATTCTACATAACCGTGGTACGCAGTGATGACCGCAGATTGATTCACAATTGTTCCAAGTCCATGCAGTGCATATGAAAACTGGTTTAGTTTAGTACAAATATCTTCTGCTTGAGATTTCCATTTTAAGTTTGAATCGAGATTGAGGCCTAAAAATTTTGCATTTTCGACTACATTAATTTTTTTGTCAGTTGTAGCATATATTAAGATTAATTAAATTATTTTTTATATTTCTGAATGTCATTAAATTTGTTTTATTTAGATTAATTAATAAATTATTATTTGACAACCATTGAATTATAATGTCTAGTGTTTGATTTATGTCAGATATCATTTTATTTTTGGTTGTGCTTGTAAACATCACTGTACTATCGTCTGCATATAGTACCATATCTTGATTTATATAATTTGGTAAATCGTTTATATAAACAAGGAATAATAATGGACCAAGAATACTTCCCTAGGGTACTCCCTAAGTCACTTCACGATATGACGATGAATGTACTATTTGTCTATACGTTTTTGAGCATATGCGCGTAATTTGTGTACATTGTTTCCGATTTATTAGGTAAGTTTTTAGGAGATTAAGGATATTTCCTCGGATCCCGTACGCTTCTAATTTACTTAAGAGGATACTGTGATTAACACAGTCAAAAGCTTTAGTTAAATCCATTTATAGAGCAGATACTAAGTGATTATTATTAAGGCTTGACATTACAGTACGTAGAAATTGAAAGACAGCTAAATTTATACTTTTATTTTTCCGAAATCCGACCTGTTTCTCTGTGAAGATTTTATATTTTTCGAAGAAATCATTAAGGTTTTGACTTATTACCTTTTCAAAAATTTTAGAGAATATCGGTATGAGTGCTATGGGTCTATAATTTGCAACATCACTCTTATCATTTTTTTTTGTTTTATTTAATTTATTTGGGAATATTCCAGAGGCTATACTTAAATTTACGATGTAGGATAAAACTGGTGAGATGATGGTTGATACACTTTTTAATACCTTTGTGCTAACGTCATCATAACCTGTGCTATTTGTATTCTTTAATGAATTAATTATATTATTAATTTCGAAAGGAGTCGTTGGGTTCATAAAAAATGAGTTATAATTATTCGGTAATTTGCAGTTAACATTAATTGTTCTTAGATTACTGTCATTTCCACTTATGAAATAATTGTTAAATAACTCTGCGATATCTTTGGGGTCATCAATGATAATCCCATTATTATTAATATGCCTGATTTCCTCTTTAATCACATTATTGTTACTATAATTGATGATTGACCTTGATTGAAATAAAATGTTTAATCATGATATGAGGCCGCAACTTTTCAATCTACCCTCGTATTATCTTTTTATAACATTGAAGTGAAAAACAAACTTTTAGTTCATGATAGTTAACTACCACAGCCGTCGCGTTATCGTTACGTGAAACTATAAGAATAAGGAAATAGAGAACGCATCTGTGTTCGTGTACACACTCGGGCACTGTAGTCCTGCGCAGATAACTAGTTAAGCATTTTTATTTTAAACGTCATAATTGCTGTATTGTAGTAAAACTAAAGCCGCCCCGTATATTAAAAAAATATTATTTTAATAATGTTAAACAGTACCATGCTCTTAATAAGGATAAAATAAAAAATTGATTAGAATCATTACGTCATGTTTAAACGAGTTGTCATTTCACTTTAATTTAAGGTTGTATGTGTATATGTGTGTAAGAGCAATAAGTCGGTGAAAAATTTATCCAAATGTCAATGTCACATCACATGCATGCAGCGTGGAAGCAGTTTAACGTGTTGTACGTATTCAAACGGCCTGTTAAATCAAAAATAAGAATTCCTACCTATAGTATATTTTAGTGATAGTGCAGATAACTACAGAGCGTTATGTTGTTCCACACTCTATGCACATTGTATACATTACGGTTATGGCACACGTCCCTGTACATACAATACACTACATATATTGGATGATTTTTTTACCATCTGGAAAAAATAGAGTGTAGCAGGTGAACGGAATAGAATTCTATAGCACTGATAGTATACTATTTTTTTGCTTTTATATTAACATATTATGAAATTGAACTATCAATAAATACCACTAATTTGAAATAAATTTTCGGTAATAAAAAAATAAAATAAATAAATTTTGAACTAAGTAAATAAATCAAATAAAAATTATCTTAATTAAAATAATTAGTAGTATTTATTGAGAGTTCAATTTCATAATATGTTAAATTATTAATGTAAAAAAACTGTAAAATATCAGTGGCATGGACTTCTATTCCATTCTCACCTGTTGAGTGCTTGCGTGTGCGTGAGTGCGGGAGCGTGTGTATGCATGTGTACGAGTACGTACGAGACAGCGCGCGTGTGCAGCTGCAGCAGCGCCGGTAGTAGCGCGGGGTCGCCGAGCAGCGCGGGGGGCGCGGGGGGCTCGCCGCTCGCGGGGGGCGCGCTCTGTGCGGGGGGCGCGGGGGGGCACCGGGGGAGCGCTGGCCTCCCACTGCGCGCACCAAGTCTGCACCTCGCTCAGTACGCTCTGCAATATGCACCGCTACCTTAACACCAACGCACATTGGCGCATACTGGAAAATCGCTTCATTCTTATCAATGGAAATGGTTATTCTTTTCTGTAAAAATAGTTTTAAATAAATGCTTATAATGTATAAATTATAATATATATAATTATTTCTTATATTTACGCGAACACTACACATTGATTAAAACTACTTTTACGGATTTTATCGCGTTTATTTTTCTATTATTTTTAATTCCCGACGCTTCGGGCGCTTTCCAGCACCCATGGTCACGGGGGACTGAATGACTGACGTCCCGATGTCATTGTCAAACCCGGAGTACCTTCAGCTTTTTTAATTATTGTTTATGGTCCGATCTATGCAAAATGAACTGACTATGTCCTGAGGTCTTGCAGTGGTATGCTTGGGTTTAGTTTTAATTTTATTGATTATAGGATCCCAAGCAGGTGGTAGTACCCAGCCTCCTTCTCTATTGAAATTAGGATGTTTTTTAATTTCAATAGCCTCACGTATCATCCTTGGTAAGAATCGGTGTTCTTTCGCGAGGGCCGTCTAGGATATGATCGCAAACTGCAGACTTCCCGGAACGTTGATGCTTCACATCAGCTATATGTTCTTTTACGCGGGTTCTAATTGATCTTTTTGTTTGTCCTATATAAGAGAGACCACATTCACAAATCGAACACCTAACAACGCCATTGGTCACATTGTGTATAGGAAAAAGACCCATACAAACCGATATTTAAACGGTGAATCTCACCACCATCCTTCACAGTTAGCTACCGTGGGCAAATCTGTAATAAACAGAGAGCACGAGGGATCTGTGACAGCAAACACCTGGCCGCCGAGCTTCAGCACGTCAAGCAAGTTACTCCGGGTTTAACAATGACATCGGGACGTCAGTCATCTCACTCCCCGTGACTATGGGTGCTGGAAAGCGCCCGAAACGTCGGGAATTAAAAATAATAGTAAAATAAACGCGATAAAATCCGTAAAAGTAGTTTTAATCAAATATATATATATATATATATATATATATACAAAAATAATTAAAATAAAAACGAAATATTTCAAAATTTTAACCATCGGAAAAAATGTTGTTATAGCTTATTTTTTTGGTTGTGAGTTGTGATGCACATTAGTGTAAGAAGTGTTGTGGTACGCAGTTGCTAATGTGCACTTGTGTCACACACCATCATAAAGGTGACAAACGAGTAAATAGTCTAGCTAAGTGGATGTCGTGGGTCGTGGCCATCTATCCTCGATTAACATTCGAAATGCAGGTGCACTGGCACTTCTGAGGATAATGGGACGCCTCGTTTCCAGTAAAGAAGATTTTCAGTTCTCTACACTCACCATACGAAACACAACGGCATTAAGCCGATATATAATCCTGATATTCTTTACGGGAGAGGGTGTACCTTATCTGGTCGAGCCGATCCATTCGTGCTAGAACCATAATATAGCTGCAGTATGGCACTACCTCGTAATGACGTAACACGAGTGCGTGCGTGTGAGTGTGTGTTGTTGCGTGTGCGTGTGTGTACATACCACGAGCAGCGCCAGCGCGGCGTGTGCGTCAGCGGGCGTGGGTGCGGGCACGCGCGCGAGTGCCCGCAGCAGCAGGTGTGCGCGCGTCACGCGCCGGAACGCCACGTCGCCGTCCGACAGCTCACCGGCCCGCAGCGCTGCGCTCTCCGCCTCCGCTTCCGCCTCCGCGTCCGACTCCGGCTCCGACCCGGATCCGTTCCACTCCTCGCTCTCCGCACCGCGGGCCACCTATACAACGCAACTCACTACTTTATTAATATCGATACACGTGTGAACACGTGCAATAGATTTAAATGATTAAAAGTCTAACTTCATGCAATATCTCGTATCCAGTAAAAAGTCATTTTATAAGAAAAAACAGGGCACGCAACCTTAGCCCTCAAGGGTGACAACGCAACTGAATGTTGATTCTTAATCGCCAATAAATGTAGATATCCATGGGTCACAGCAACTATCATCTGGTGTATGGAGTGTAGAGGTAAGGAGAAAAATCTCTCATAGGAGAATAGTTAAAAAAGTGTCCATCTAAAACAATAAATAACAGTTCAAAAACTCTCCACAACAGCGCTGGAATAACTAATAATAATAGGAATAGCTAGGGGAAAAGCTACATGAAATGAACTTAGCAGTTGTCGACGGTGTGAAGTGTGTCGCTAAACTGCACAGTAGTTCTAAAATCTAAAATAATTTTATTTAGTAAATATAACCTCGAAAAGGTCGTCTATCCCATTAATATTTTTCGGTGTTTTTAAAATATACCACGTAGCTATAGTGGCGCCACCCTTATTTAACGGTTTTTTATGGACACCTTTTAATACACAGTCTGCACTCTTTACCTTTACACTTCATAATCTGGCGTATTGTGCGCTCGTTTGTCATTCTTAATGTATGAAAAAATTAAACAAAAAATTTAAATATTGAGAACTGTACAAGAATGCACTCAAACATTATGTCAATAATGCAAATTGATTTCAAAATTAAACGAACACTGTAACGCTACGAACGATTTCTATTAACACTCCTGTGCACAACAATCATTTCATTTTGTGGAATGTACTAAGGACAATATCAAAACGCGTATCTGGCGCATGGCGGCGCTGTTCGCGCAGAACGCACAGCGCTAGCAGCAGCAGCAACAGATAATATCGCGGTGCACACCTGGTTCACAGCCACGTCCAGCAGCGGCGCGCCCTGCTCGTGCAGCGAGCGCAGCGCGCGCGCCGCGCACAGCCGCGCGCCATACACGCACGCCACGCGCTGCACGCTCGCCGCACCCCACCCGCGCTCTGGACAACCGCAACACAACGACATTATCAACCGTCACACTACTTTTACTCTTCAAAATAGGTCAAATTAAACGAGATAAAAATCTAAAATTCTTGTCAATATTTAAAAAAAATATTGAAATTTCATTACACAGTTATACTCCAACAAAAATATTTTGAATTTTTTCGTAAGATTCCATTTTGTCCTCCGCGCTGGAACAATTCCTAAGATTTTGATACAGTTTTCAATTATAATGGTTTAATTAGATTCCAAAAATATGATTAAATTGGTTTGCAGGAAAAAAAAAGACAAATAGCTTAAATGTGTATAATATGATAGTATTTCCAGCCGTTAAATGCGATTGTCAAAAAAAAGTTTTATGATTATTCATTGTAATGTTGGACGGTTGTTAAATGAAAGGGAAACGTGTTTCTCTGCTCAAGACTTTAATCATACTGTAGCTTAAACCTAAGAGTAAGTACATTATTTATTAATACATGCTAGTAGGGTGGAGGCACATACACTACATCATAACAATACATGCTAGTAGGGTGGAAGCACATACACTACATCATAACAATACATGCTAGTAGGGTGGAGGCACATACACTACATTATAACAATACATGCTAGTAGGGTGGAGGCACATACACTACATCATAACAATACTTGTTAGTGAGTGTTTAACTCGAAACTCCCAGTTGTTTGAGTAGAATAAAATGCGTATTTCTATCAAGTCTAGCTGCTTGAGCCGTTTCAAGCACTTAGATTTCGCCAATTGAGTCTGAGAGTCGTCTAGAATGATTTAAATCCTTTGATTATATTGTGAGACTGAGTTTCTGTTGCATATCACATCTATTTTGCTCCTTTTGTAAAGTCGCTATTGTTTTTATAAATAATTTTAAAGTTATTCTCAACAGTACATTTATTGAAACCTAAATTTTGATTAGTTCAATATTACTTATAATAATTTTGTATCGATTTACCGTAGACAACAATAGAAGTGAATAACAGCGTTCGTACCCGCGGGCAAAGCGGCGATGCGCTGCCAGACTGCGTGTGCGCGCAGGAAGTCAAGGAAGAGCGCGAAGACGCGCGCCTTGTCGCGCAGCTGCGCCTGCAGCTGCAGCGCGGCCGACGCACCCAGCGCCAGGCGCGGCCGAGGGGCGCGGGCAGCGCGAGGCGCTCGGGCCTGCCCCCAGCGCGGGTCACCGGCCGGCGCGTCGTCCAGCAGGCGGCGCAGCGCGGACAACGCGGCGCGGGCCAGCGCCCCGCTCCCGGCCGCACCGGCGCCGAACGTGTCGGCCAGCAGGCGCGCGGCGCCCGCGTCGCGCCGCAAGTGCAGCAGAAACGCCGTCTGTAGCCGGCCGCACGCGTCCGTCACACGACCGACCAACTGTCAACGTCAACTTCAGCTGTCAACCACATACGACATCAACATTTTTATATAAATTGTTGTGACCCTCCCACTTTGTACTAAATAATTCATATTTAGTATAAAGTTCAATTATACGAAATAATTCATATAGTCTATTTTTTTCTTGCTTTTGTTTCTTGACTTTTGACAATACAGTTACAAGCGCAACGCCTCTTTTTCTACATTTAATTATAAAATATTATTTAAACATACGTTTGTAATATTGAAATAAATATACAAAGTGTAATAAAGTGCCAAAAACTGTTTTAATTACTATACATTGCTTTGCAATATGAAATAGTCAATAATTAGGGCTTTCATGTAAGAAAAGTCCAGGTAGGTTTTCCCGTTACGATCCTTTGAACGAAGTCATCCCAAGGGCTCTTGTCTCTATAAATGTTCCCTCGGTTTTAGAGCCTTGAGGGATATTTAAGAGACGATGGCAAGATCCGTCGGTACAACTTTGGTCCCTTGGGAAGGTAGGTTGGGAGGTAAAGCCCTAGTGTGAAATGCTCCTTGCATAGACACTGGCGGCCTCTCAAGAGTACCTCTTTGAGAGCCGGGGCGGCATCAGAGGCAGCTGAATTAAGTAAATGGCGCAAATATTTATAGAGACTATCGGTCCGTGGGGTCCACGTGCAGTTTCTAAGTTTCTAAAAGAACTGCATCCGCGACTGGTCGTCGCTGCTGGTAATAAGAAGTCCGGTTCTTTTCTCGCTTAAAGGCTAAGTATAGTTAGCTTTAATGAGGCAACAAAGCCAACCTTCTTGGCATGATACAATTTAAATTTTTAGGTTTGGTTTTTCTTTATTTTAGTTTTTTGTATTTTGTGTGTAATGAATATTAATTGTAAATATTGCTTGTAAAAAAACTTATTCTCATATACAATATTATTTAACATAATAAATAAAAATTAAAAGAAATGGACTTTGTTCCATACGAAATAGGGCCCGGCGTGAACAAAGTTCAAATATGTCTTATTTTGAAGATTTAAACATTTGCTATTTATGTGAAAAAAAAAACATATATTTGCAGTACCTGGGATTTTGCTTTTATTTTATATTTTATGATTTGTAGGCTATGCAGTTAAATAACTCGTTTTTGGGAAAACTTACTTGAATAAATTGAAAAGGACACAAAAAAATGCAGATTTGTAGTTTACTTGAATAAAATAAAACTTAAACTTTTTAATTATTTAATTATTTTTTCACTTATCGACAAAATATTATGTACAAAAGCAGCATGAGGCTGTACATTTTCTGTTCTATTTCTCTTATAATCCAAGTACCACATTATTGTCATTGTGTGTGTCAACAACCTACTGTCCTTTTACCGACCTTGCAGTTACAATAGTAAGCTAAAGAAAAGCGGTTAGAGCTGTCAACTAAAATATAACAAAAGTATATTTTTTGTCCATTGTGTCTAGACTTTATTCTCACTCTTAAAAGCCATACAGTGGCCGAAGTTGACAGCTCTTGCAGTAGGACTTGCACTCCCTCCCTGCTCACTTCTATTGTGAAGCTTCCGTTCTCTCTTGTATGTTCATCATAGTACGAACGAGTCTGTTTGATTTGCTATGTGCTAACAGAAATCAAAACTAGGTCGCCGTATGTGAGCTGGGGAAAATCGTTAATATCGTTTTCATTTATGTTTATGAATAGGGACCGCCTCATATTTAAATTGCTACTATTCAACAAAATCAGCAAGAATGTTCTCCCTATTCATATTGTTGTGGAAAACTTGTAAGATTTCCTCAGCATCAGGCCTGTCTGTAATGAGAGGGTGAAACTTATTAAGCAATGCAGTAGCGACTTTAAAATCTTTAGTAATATTTTTCTAAGAAATATAAGATATATTTCGAACATGCACATATGTGCCATCAAAAATTGACACAGGGAGACTTTGTGCCCCTAAACTGTCAAAAAACCATTTGGTATTACAAGATTTCTCTCTGCTATCTCTTCTCTAGTTATATGACTGACGCCCTAATATAGAGGAACAAAATCCTCCGCTAAAAGTTCCCTTGCTGTTTTTATAAGGAACTGCAATGTGCATGTAGGGATTAAGGTCATAGAAGATATTCTCCTATTTGAATCCCCAGTTCACAGTTTTAACAAGTAAACAGCAAGGGCAACTGCTCCTTTTCCCATTTCATTTAATCTTGTTACTGGACTCTTGTAACACTCCGAATTCTTGTTTACAGATACCCAACCAAAAAATGTACTAATTGGTTTTCCATATCCTGTATACGTATTGTTACAATCTAATGAGTCAGTATCTTTTCTTATTAATTCTATAAAATCTTCAATATGATCAGCCATGAATACAGTATACTCAACAAAATCTGAGAAATATATTTTGTCAGCTCTCAGACTTATTGGACTAGGCATGCCAACAAAAAAATCGGTTCGTACAATATTCGAATCTTAAGAAAAACCGATATCGATTCTTTAGAGTTGGTAATCATTTACAGTTTTGTTTCGATTAGTACCAGAATAAATTAGAAACGGATAATTTAAAACACTAAATTAATGAGTTTCTTCGTATTTATTGTTATTACTTATTTCTAAAGACAAAGATATAAAAATTTAAGATTGTAAGTAGATAAAAATAATTTTATTTAGTCACTATCACTACGAGTACAACTAACTGCTTGAGCTGTCGTTGTTAAGATTAATTATTATTTGATTTTCAATAATGTAATCAAAATGAATGTCTCTTTCTAAGTCACCCTTAATATTTTCTTTGTTTTCTTTCACTATCTTCTTTTGTGACATGGGCTTCTTCGGCAAACTTTCCATCTTCTTTACCGTGAAAGATGACTTGGTGTTGTGTCGTGCTGCGTAGCCAGTAAAAGCAAAAGATATTTTCATCTCGTGTGTGTTTAGGTAGATTTAGATAGTTGCTTGCATCTAGCACATTTCATATAACTAGCCTCTGATTTGAGCCCAAATCAATTCAATAGCATTGTAATAGCAGTGGTATGGTGGGTCTGATAACTTTATACCCGTGTTCTTCTGCTGATTTATCAATAACGTACAAAGGTCTACGTGGTTTATTTGTCTTAATAATTATATAAGCTCTGTTTTCAATAATTTCATGTTCGCTTCCACTCCTTTGTGTTGCAGCCATGCCACTACATCTGCTTTCTTGTTCACTTGGGTTGACGCTTTGTCAGTTTGAATAGAATGGTACAAGGCTGTTAGCTTCTTTCCGGTAACCCTAAATTAGTCTGTATTTCTACTGCTCATTTATGATAGGTACTTGTACAATGGCAACCCAAAGTTATTAAATCATTCAACCATAGATTCGGTCGTTCATTCGAATGCATACTAAACAAGTGGAGGGGATTGAAGGGAGGGAAGTTAATACGCAAAAAGAGAACGTCATTCTGGTTCGAGGTTCAGACGAAGTAAGTCGTAAGCAATAAAGCGCAAAAATGGTTGATATTTAAATATTGAAAGACTAAAACTGTAAGTACGTGTGAACTTGTTTGCTATGATATTATGTATACCCTGTGATGTTGTATTATTTTGTGGAAATATAAGATGTGATTATGTGAAATATTTGTTCTTTCTTTTACGAATCCCTGTGTACGAGCTGATGACAACAGGGCGTTGTCCATTATTATGGTGTTATTCACAAAATATTTTGTAAAAGGGTTATAAACCACTCTTTAAATTTTTCTGCAACCATTTCCTCACAGTATTCTTCTGTAATTTTTGATTGGAAAGCTAATAAACAATTTGCTACAAATCCTTCTTCGGCGGATCCCGCATGGAAAACTATCAGACGCCCACTTTTTCCCAAGGCACCTTTGAGCAAGATGCGGCAGAGTTGTCTGTCCATATCCAAGGTTGGCGTTTAACCACGTTTCATCAACGAATATGACGTCCCAATTGGTTATATTTTCATTTTTTTAAATATTATTTCTTTTATGTCATGCATGTCTATAATTATTTTGCGTTTATCAATTGTTTTGTATCGGAAGCCCATCTGGTTCTCTATACTACCACTGTAAAAGCCGGCATCTACTAAACTTTCTTGCAAATTCTCCACAGTAGGATATTCGCTCCTTGTGAAATATCCGTAGACATGGTTTCTAACAGCATCTGCGTCGAATCGATCTATACCTATTACTGGTTTATTCCTTTTTTTCGGCATGTGAAGAAAATTTTTCTCACTGCCTCAAAGTTCGTAGTTTTAGTGCCTATCTTAGCAATGGTGCGTTTACAAACTCCGAGTACTTCACGGTGTAAACTTCATTTGTGTCACTGTGTAAAAGGGGTTCATCGATTTGTGACTGAAGTTCGAAATATTCGTGTGATTTCACCACCAATGCACGAGCCTGACCGTTTAAAGTGTTACTACTACAACTAACGTCCTCTTTTCGGTATCATGATCATTTGCTTAGTCAGAGTTCAGTATATCACTTGCCAACGTCAACGAATATAGAAGAATCAGGCCAAAAAGTTATAGTCCGAGTCACAAAATAACAAGACAAAGCCGCCTCCCGTAACGTTTGATCATGTAGACGTGACCAGATTGTTGAAAAACATTACCACGTTGAAAGCCGAAGTCACCGACATTCGTTTCAAATTTGAAGAATCGGAACGAGCCGCAACAGAAATGAGGAAAGAAGTCACTATGTTGCACGACATAATTGCAACATCTGCAAATTAACCACCGTTGCAGAATGTAAATTCGTTACGCGGTAACCGTAATAGTACCTACACTTCACTGATGATTACGACTCCGTCACGCGATACCGTCTGTCAGCGGGTCGATAACCGTGAAACTAGGGCGACCTTGGTCATCGTTGCATTACCACCTCAGGTAGTGACTAAACTCATCAGTGCTCCTCCGCCGAAGCCAACCTCACAACAAGGGAACACGTTTGCGGATGTTGCCTGAAAATCTTCACGTCCGGCACTCTCTTGTGGTTGAAAACGAATAAATGTGGATATAAAATCAATGCCTATGGTGACCCGAAACAAGACTGATGCGTTTACTCTTTTTTAGAAAAGATGTTGGTCGAGACTCGTCTGTAACCAGCATGGGACCGCCAAAATAAACCCAATTACAACTCTGCGTGTTATGGAGCCCACCATACAGCTCTACATCTCCAGTTTCGATAGTAAAGTACGTCGGCAGAAGACGTGTCCTGAGTTATGTTGAAGAACGAAGCCGATCCGAGCCGTCTGGGGTCTAATAGGTCAACGATCTTCAAATCCTATGTACTCCAGGTTCCTACAATATACAGCGACGCACTTAAAAAGAAAGTTCCCTAATAGTGTTATGTTTATTTTTTATACATATTATAGGTTCAATAAAAAAAATAGTTATAAGTATTTTATTATATTTTTTCATAATTCTTTTAATAGATCAATAGATGAAGTCCATAGACATAATAATACATAAGCTTAGGCGCCTTATGAACTTGAGTCGTCGTCGACTATTATAGTGTTATTGTCATCGACTAGCCGTTGGATTGAGCTGTCGTCAAAATCTCCCAAAAACTTCGCAATATGACATATCAGCATATTGTGAAAATAAAATCTATAACTACGAAGATCCCGAATGAAATGAAGACATGGGTAAAAAGGACAACAATCCACGCCTAAAATCTAAATAAAAAAGACGTTATTATCTATTACCATAGACAAAATACAGAATATATTTAATAACGTTTTGTTTCTGCTATAGTAAAAGCATTAGCTTTCGTTTTTCAGTCTTAAAAACGAAATAAAAAACATTTAATTATGCTTATAATTTATCGTTTATTACCTACACATTTTTGTATAACAGTTCCGAACGATGCCAAGCACCCAATTTCATACCTTCTTTAAAAAATCTTATAAAATATAATATATATTATACAGAAAACTGGTATTTGTTTGTAATATTTAAAAAATATATCAGAGTTAAATTTACAATCTTTATTTTGTTGCCATGTTATGTGGGTGGGGTGTTGTATTTGGAATTGATAGTGTGGAAATTATGGTGTTTATGTTTAAAATTCTATTTGTTATGTGGGTTGAGTACTTATTTAATTATGTAATAGGATACAAGAGTGCATTTATTTGCCAACAAACTGTCTACAGTTTGGCGAAGTTATAAACTTATGTAATTTTTTTTCTGTAAATGTCATTAAATAAATAAATAAAATATGTTAAATAATACACTAGAATCTAGATTAGGACTGAGATGTTTGACGTCTGTTTACAAATGGACGTAACAAAATAAAATAAAATAAAATAAAATACGATCGCCGGTAAAAATGATATAATGACTTGCTAATATCTTTGCTGGTACAATGGTAAGACCTTTCTAAAAGAAAATTGCCGCCGGGCGCCCTCTGGCGCCTTGTTTTATGCCGCTGATTATTAGTCGGTGTTGCCGCAACAACGTCCCAATGTCATAGTTAGTCCGGCTACCTTCAGTTTTTGAATATCAATTTTTTATCCCATCTCATCTACACAGAACGAGCTCACAGTATCTTGAAGTCTTGCAGTGGTATGCTTGGGTTTGGATTCAATTTTTTTATTTATAGCATCCCAAGTAGATGGCAGATCATAACGATATTGAACATGGTCATAGTGACTGTGAACATATTAAAGATCTTCCTCACCATTACATCAGATTTGATAAACCACAAATCCTCGAAAAATGACACCGATTCTTACCAAGGATGATATACGCGAGGCTATTGAAATTAAAAAACATCCTGATTTCAATAGAGAAGATGTATGGGTGCTGCCATTTGCTTGGCATCCTATAATTAACAAAATTAAATCAAAACCCAGGCATACTACTGCTCTGCATAAGCTCGTTCTGCGAAGATCAAACCAAAAATGAATATTCAACTGAATGAACTACTGAAGGTAGCCGGGCTTTGACATTGGGGCGTCAAACATCTCAGCCCCCACCCCCGTGACCATAGGTGCAGTAAAGCACCCGAAACGTCGGATAATTAGAAATAAGTTAATTAAACCCGATAAAATCCGTATAAATAATTTTATGGAACGTGTAGTATTGTGTTATTTTCAAAATATTTTATTTTGTTGATTTAGACAAAAAAGAATTGAAAACATTTAATAAAGCTACATGAACTTTATCTAAATATACAAAATAATTTAAGCCATCCTGAAACATACAAAATAAAAAAATATCCTGACAACGTTAAACAAAAGTCATATATACTGTGTAATAACACTTACCTCATGCGGGTCTATTTCATACATGGTCAGATTGCCGTCGTACATATCGGACGCACTCGGCGAACTCATTGGACTATCAGACAACGACCTGCAAGTCATAAATCATATCGTATAAGCAATCGATTAAAGTTAACGCCACGAATGAATACGTCAGTTCATTTATAAATATATAATAGATATACATAGAAAGCTATTACAGTATTTATAAATCGTCATAGTTGTACGCTCCAACCGTACATTTCTGCTGGCGTTAACATTTTACGTGAAGCAATCGCTATAGTTCGACATTTATAAAAACAGAGTTAGTTCACGTACTAGGCTGCACTAAAAGTATCGGGAATGGAATATTTCCACTGTTCCTGTCATATTAAAATCTTTTTAATTGAAAACTCCTTGGTTTTAAAAATCGAATACCATTTATTTATTTAAAAAAAGATCTCGGTCTTGTCACAAGGTTTTGTCAAACTTGTTTAGTCGTTGAGAAAATGGAATTGACTCGAGAAAATTCAAGAGCGATGATTTATTATGACTTTCGAAGTGGTTTAACACAATAACAGTATGTATGATTTCTGCATTTAGTGATAAAGCCCCATCCAAAACCACGATTTATCGCTGGTTTGCTGAATTTCAACGTGGACGTGTCAAGCTCAGTGATGATCCCCGTCAAGGTCGTCCAAAAACTGCAGTCACCCAAGAAAAAGTTGATGCTGTGCGTAAGCTGATTGAGGAAGATCGATATGTGACATACCGCGAAATTTAAGCAACTTTAGACATTGGCATGAGTCAAATACAAATAATCTTGCATGAACAATTAGGTGTAAAAAAAGTTGTTTTCCCGATGAATACCGCATTCGCTCTGTGAAGAGCAAAAAGCGGCTCGCGTTACTTGGTGCGTTAGAACTCTCGAAAGATTCCACGCAGGATCCTCAAATGCTATATACAACTGTTTATGATATATATACTAATACGCCAGTATATTCCAAATTTATGAAGAAAACATATTTTTGAATTTTAAAAAGATTTAGATCTTTTTTTTGAGAAATGACGTTGACGTTGTTATGTCAATTTTTATTATAAAAGGCACTGAAAATTTAGTTAAAATATATAGACCAAATTAGATCATACACTGTTGCGGATCGTTTTATTTACCAACAACCCTTCTAGTGTATCAGCAAGACAACAGGTCAACTACATAGGTCAACTAGTTAATCTAGTTCGAGGGTAGGCGGCGTGAGTGAACAAGTTAATTAAAGCCCTCTATAAATTTTATCTAAATAAAAATAGTTAAAGTAAATTATCAGCCATATATTTAGTTTAATTAGTTAAAGTGAAATGTAAATTACAAGTGAAAGTGTAATCCAAACAAAAATAATATAGTAATAACAGCTAAAAGAACAATAAACAATAAGTGATAAAGTGCCTTGAACATCAAATCGAGATAAGAATTATTAAAGGGTGTTTAACTCTAAAAGTGCTTAAAAGCTATGTAAATCCCTACGGACAACAGTTTATAGCGAATAAAATAATTATCCAGTGCGTAAAAACATAAAAAATCTTTTGAAAAGTGTGTGGAAAATATAAATCGTTACAAAATTCAAAAAACCGCTCAACTCATTCTTATAGGAAAAATATTGTACGACATCTATCGACGAATTGCTAAACTAGTACAGTTGATTGATATTGTAATACTAATATAGTACTTAAATTAGCCGAAAGAGGGCATTGAATAACATTACTATACAGAAAGATAATAAAGACTTGTAAAGACTGAAATGGAGAACCAGAATGTTACCTTTCGTTCTCAAAAGACCAAAAAATTAAATGAATCACTAAACATGTCATTTATATCGACCAACTCGGATTATCTGGCTAGAAGCTTACCAGATTTATCCACTGCACAGTTATATAACGAGGATTGTGAGTGCTACAAAGAGCAAATATTACAATTACAGGAGCAACTACAAAAAGCGCATGCTGAAATAGATAATTTGAACTCGGAAAACAGCAATCTTAAACAGCAAATTAATGAGCATGAAAGGAAAATTCTGCAGTTAAAACCAATCTGTAAGGGTTCGCCAAAAGTTCAAAAAAATCACTTATTCTCTAATAACGAAAAAAATACAAAAAAAATCTACAAGAAAACAATTTGAGCATGAGTATTGGAGATCTTAGACTAAAAACAGATGATGACATAACACCAACAGATGGCGACACCAGTAACATACGCATACAACAACGAAATAATATATCAGCGTCTGAAGTGGTTCCAGAAACTCAAAATGCATCAGGATGTGGCGTTGACATACAAGAAATGTCAATGTATAACTCCAGCCACAATCAACCACAGGATGGCACTAAAAACTTGGTAAATATTAATGTACAAACCAACCGAAGAATATTCATTATTGGAGAACAGCAATGCTTGGGTCTTTGTAAAAAACTAACAATTTCGAGGGATACAAATGAATACGAAAAATACAAAATATATTCCTTTATAAAACCGTTTGCTAAATGTAATGAGTCATTGAAACCATGTCGTAATTTGGACATATCAGAAAAAGATTGGGTAATATTATGTATTGGTGAAAATGATGCAGACCCAAACCAAATCCATTTTCACTTAAGGAATAGTTTAGAATTGTTGACCAAATGTAATGTAATAATACTTAGTGTTAATAGAAATAGATACCTAAATGAAAAAAAATTAAATACACATCTAAAATTTACATGTCAAACTTACCATAATTGCCATTTCTTGGATATATCTCATTTAAATGAACATTATTATAACTACCACTACTTACAGGGTCATATATGCAGGTTAATCAATCTAACCATAGATACCAAAGACTATAATACTAAATATATTCCTTCAGGTACAAATAAAGTAAAACCCTATTATCTTTCTATTATTAAACATAGCTTACCAAAAAGTTCCCCTTCGGGTATGTGCAGAGTAAAAGGGACCATCCCATATTATTTTCCTATCATTAAACGTAATTCAACTACTTCATCTAAAATATTTAACAATAAGAATTTTTTATGAGTAAGCCACGGGAATTAAAATTAAAAGCAGATAAAAAAAATAAAATAAGATTACTCCATCAAAACATAGCAGGTATTTTAAACAAAATTGACACCAACCATTGAACTTTCCAAAAATAACTATCCAATACAAATTTTATGCTTTAGTGAAACTTTTATAAAAAGAGGGGATGAGTCACATATTACTTTTAAGGGATACACCATGGGCAGTTACTATTCTAGGAAAACACAAAAGCGTGGTGGTACGTGCATTCTAACATATTGCGGAATTGATTGCAAGCCAATAGAAATATGTAAAGAATGCTCATGTGATAATATATTTGAATGTTGCGGTATAGAAATCCCCAGTTTAAATACAGTAGTAATATGTTTATACAGAACACCTACATCTAACATTAATTCATTTTTTAATAAATTGGAAATACTGTTACATAAATTAAGATTCAAAATTATAAATAAAAAACTCATATTAACAGGTGATTTAAACATTAATATACTGTTAAATAATAAAAGTACAATTACCTTAAAAAATATCCTCTCAAATTTTAATTTAACTTTACATATAAATGAGCCAACACGACAAAATAGCTGTATAGATCTCATAGCAAGTAATCACGAAGAGGCATATGGTACAGTACACCGGCTCTATCTATCTGATCACGATACCGCGCAAGTGTTAGAATTTCCAGGAAAGTGTGAAAAAATGTCACAATATTGGTACGTTAAGAAAAGAGATTTTAGTGATGAAAATATAGAAAAATTTCTATATTATATATCACAATTATCATGGCATGAAGTCTACGCGGAATCAGACGTAAATAAATCATTTAGTATTTTTCATCAAGAACTTACATTGTATTATGAATTATGTTTTCCCTACCATAAATCTAAAATAACTACAAACAGTCGATCTCCTGCATGGATCACTAAAGGCCTGAGAAAAGCCAGTGCCATTAAAAGACAGTTAAGGTTTTCATATTATAAATTTAAGAAACAAGATACATTGGAAAAATATAATATTTATGGAAAAATATTAAAGAAATGCATAATATGGTCAAAAAAAAATATTAACAGAAAACATCTTAAGCGGGCAAAAAATAAAGGAAAAGCCACTTGGAACATAATAAAAGATAAAAATAATAGTATCAACTTGATTAACAGTGTGAAATCAATACAAAACGACGGAAATATTATTCATAATCCTACCCAAATAGCAACGTTTTTTAATGACTTTTTTATTAATATTAGTAATGGAAATAATTTACATGCGCCAAACGAACAATATCAAAAAATATCAATAAATGTTAATGATAAATCAATATTCTTGATACCTACTTCAGAGCTTGAAATCATAAATATAATTAAATCATTAAATAATACCAAAGCTGTGGGGTATGACTCTATATCTACAGAAATAATTAAAGCAAGTGCTCGTGTCATTGCCCCCATTCTTAACCATATAATCACAAATTCCTTGATCCAAGGAATATTTCCAGATAAATTAAAACAATCTATTATTAAACCATTGTACAAGAAAGGTGATAGAAAAGAACCTAATAACTATCGTCCTATTACGCTTGTACCATATATCAAAAATTTTTGAAAGGGTTTTTTACAACAGGTTAATTAAATTCCTTAATAAACATAATATTATTAAAAAAAGAACAGAATGGTTTTCAACACAATAAATCAACTTCTTTAGCAGCATTCTCTCTTGTAAAAAATATAACTGGATACATTGATGAGAAAATTCCGGTGGTAGCCATATTCTTTGATATGAGTAAAGCTTTTGATTTTGTAGACCATGGGATTTTGCTCACCAAATGCGAAAAATATGGCATTAGAGGTGTAGCTTTAGACTGGATAAAAAGTTTTCTAATCAATCGTAAACAATATGTTGAAATCACTACTTTAAATGACAGACATGAATGCAGTGTGCACAGATCTCCATCCAGGGTCAATAAACATGGAGTTCCACAAGGGAGCGTACTAGGCCCCTTATTATTCTTACTGTACATTAATGACCTACCAGATTCAATAAAC